CCAGGATCACGCCTGGGCGACGTCGACCGAGGGAGCAGCGCGCCGGGCAGCCGACGGCCCAGGGCGAGAGTCCACAGGACCGAGAGATGGTCTGGCCTTCGGTGGAGCTCCCTATGGGGCCGCGTGTGAGGGGTTGGCCGAACGCGCATGCGGCCGCGGGCACTGGGGCCTTCGGTGGAGCTCCCTATGGGGCCACGAAGCGTGTGAATGGTGTGCCGAAATGTGTGTGGGTGACGCATGCGGCCGCGGCCACTGGGGCCTTCGGTGGAGCTCCCTGTGGGGCACGAAGCGTGTGAGGGGTGTGCCGAAATGGGTGTGGGGGACGCATGCGGGCGGCGGCACTGGGGCCTTCGGTGGAGCTCCCTGTGGGGCCACGAAACGTGTGAGGGGTGTGCCGAATTGGGTGTGGTGACGCATGCGGCCGCGGGCACTGGGGCCTTCGGTGGAGCTCCCTCTGGGGCCACAAACGTGTGAGGGGTGTGCCGAAATGTGTGGGTGACGCATGCGGCCGCGGCCACTGGGGCCTTCGGTGGAGCTCCCTGTGGGGCAACGAAGCGTGTGAGGGGTGTGCCGAATTGTGTGATGACGATGACGATGACGATGACGATGATGATGATGATGATGATGATGATGATGATGATGATGATGATGATGATGATGATGGTGGTGGTGGTGGTGGTGGTGATGACGTCGATGATGTCGATGATGATCATGGTGATGGCGGTGACGATGATGGTGATGATGATGATGATGACGACGACGATGATGATGATGATGATGATGATGATGATGGGAGGGGGGAGGAGGCAGCGGGAGGAAGGAAGGAAGGAGAACGCGGGGCACCGTCTCTTCAAAACGAGGACCCAACACCACAGGATGGTTGGGAAAAACTGGACCCCCCGGATCTGGGGTTCTGGGGCTCCCTTGAACGCCCTTGGAAAAGGTCACCCAGCTTTCCGGGTCTCCACAAACGCCTTGCCAGCAGACCCAGAGCGATCCGAGGGATCATCAGAAAGGCTCAAGGAAGGCCCCAGACAGCACAAGAGCGCTCCGAGAGGGACTCCAATTGCGTCAGGACGGCCCAAAAGACCCCCAAGGCACGACAGATAGCTTTCCAAGGGGCCTTCAAAGCACAAACATCGTCCCATTCCCTTTGTAAGACTTACAATTTTAGCATATTCGCCTTTCGGATTTCATCAGCTTTCAAGACGGTTTCAAAGCCCCCGAGATCGCCTCCAGACGCCCCAAAAGGCCCCCAAGAAAGCTTCAAGACGGCCGAGCCGGGCCCCACGATCGCCCACGAGAGAGCGGGCCCAAGCTCCCCGAGACGGCCCAAGAAGGCTCCAGGACGGCCCATGAAGGCGCCAAAACGGCCCACGAGGGCCCCGAAAACACCCCCACGATGTTTTCGAATGCCAACATAAAGACCCCCAAGGCACCCCAAAAAGCTTTCCAAGGAGCCCTCAAAGCACAAAAATCGTCCCATTCCTTTTGTAAAACTTACAAGTTTAGCAGATTCGCCTTTCGGATTTCATCAGCTTTCAAGACGGTTTCAAAGCCCCCGAGATCGCCTCAAGACGCCCCAAAAGGCCCCCAAGAAAGCTTCAAGACGGCCGAGCCGGGCCCCACGATCGCCCACGAGAGCCCCAAGACAGCCCATAATGGAACCAAGAGGCCCCCCAAGGGCTCCCAGCACAGACCCAAAAGGGCCATGGGAGGTCCCCGGAAGTGCCCAAGATGGGTCCAAAGGGGGCTCCAGCGGGCCCAAGCTCCCCAAGACGGCCCAAGAAGGCCCCAGGACGGCCCATGAAGGCGCCAAAACGGCCCACGAGGGCCCCGAAAACACCCCCACGATGTTTCCGAATGCCAACATAAAGACCCCCAAGGCACCCCAAAAAGCTTTCCAAGGGGCCTTCAAAGCACAAAATCGTCCCATTCCCTTCGTAAAACTTACAATTTAGCATATTCGCCTTTCGGATTTCATCAGCTTTCAAGACGGTTTCAAAGCCCCCGAGATCGCCTCAAGACGCCCCAAAAGGCCCCCAAGAAAGCTTCAAGACGGCCGAGCCGGGCCCCACGATCGCCCACGAGAGCCCCAAGACAGCCCATAATGGAACCAAGAGGCCCCCCAAGGGCTCCCAGCACAGACCCAAAAGGGCCATGGGAGGTCCCCGGAAGTGCCCAAAATGGGAAGGCGCCAAAACGGTCCACGAGGGCCCCGAAAACACCCCCACGATGTTTCCGAATGCCAACATTCATTGATTTTGCTCCCATGGCATTTCACATTGTGACCCAGTCTTTGAGGGTCTCGTGGCATGCAGCGAAGATGCCCGAGGATGCCCCGTACGAGTTGCATATGCATGTCCATACCCCTACACACATAAATTTAGATGTGCATATGTACGCTGCACACACATACAATAATGTAAATCTAGTGTATGCATCTAGCCATTTATACAGAACGTGCATGCACGTACGCGTGTATACATACATGCGCGCATGTACGCACGCACGCATTCCGCTTGCGTGCAGAACTCAAAGGACCAAGGTGCATGGCGCGCAATGCCAATGCAATCTTGTACACACACATGTGTGTGTGTGTGTGTGCGTGCGTGCGTGTGTGTGTGTGTGTGTGTGTGTGTGTGTGTGTGTGTGCGTGTGCTCTTGTGCGCTCTTGGGCGCGGCCGGACGCTCTCAGGGTGTTCCGCGTAGGCCTCCATGACGGTGCCCTCTCCCAGGGAGGCCCCAACACATACCAAAACAGTCCTGAGAAGGTCCTGGGAGGGTCCACGAGACCTGGGAGGGTCCACGAGACCTCCGATACTGCCCCAAAGCTCCAAAAGACTCCCAAGATGGCCCCAAGACGGTCCGAAGACGCCTTCGAGCCCCAAGAGCATTCCCAAGAGGGCCCCGAGAGACCGAAATCATTGATTTCCTGACGGTTTGTCAATCTCTTGTGGGTTCTCCACTTTTCTAGCTTTCGACGCTCGAAGACGTCCCAAGAGGCCCCAAAGACCGCCCCAAGACGGTCTCAGATGCTCCCAATAGGGCCTTCAGACGGCTCAAGAGCCGGCCAAGACGGCCATAGAGACGCCAGAGACAGCTCAAGAGGTCCCCAAGACGGCCCGAAGAGGGGCCCCAGAGGGAGAACACGATCCGAAAATCCCAGCCTGCCGCCACAAGAAGCACCCAGGAGGCCCCAAGAGGCCCCCACAAGGCTCCAAGAGGCCCCCAAGGACCCAAAAGAAGCCCCACGGAGCCCCAACACAGCCGCCCCACAAAGCCTCAAACTGTTTCCAGGAGACCCCCAAGAGGCCTCGACGAGATCCCAGCGAACATCAAAGAGGCCTCAGATCCACAACCCAGGCACCGTGGCAGGACGGGCCGAAGGCCAATCTATAGATAACGACGATACAGACTTACATATGTTTATATATATGCACACAACACATCGAACATACATGTATACATATAGACAGAGAGAGATAACAAAACAGAAATGCAAGCGATATTGACCTCACACATAAACATTGATGATCGGCTGGGGACACGCATGCACCCTGCAAGCGGATCGTCGCCAAAAGAAGGCAAGTGTATCGCGTGGGCGCCTGCTGCGGCTTCGGTGGCTTCCAGCGTGCGCAGCGACCAATGATGAGACACCGCGCTTGCGGCGTTCTTGCGAAGGGACGTCAGGGCGTGTCATGCGGCGGCGACGGCACGCTTCGGCGGCGCTGCGCTGTGGCGTGGCGAACTTCGGCATACGTGGGCTGGCAGTCGGCCTCTCACCAACTTTTGTTGGCTCAACTTTTCATGTGGAGAACTCTCGTATGCAATGCCACTCTGTGCACCCGCGTGGCCAATGTGGGTATATCTCGCTTCGTGCGTGTGCCGGGCTGTGGCCCGAGCATGCCGAGGGCGTGGTGGGGCAGCGGCCCGTAATTCCATGCACGGGAGGCTGGCTTGCGTGGCCAGTCGAGCGTGCGCGCCCGCTACGAGGCCGTGTGTGCCTCGTGGGTAGGTGCTGTGTGCAGTATTGGCGTTGCGTTAGGTGGCTCTGGGGATTGTGCAGTTAGTCCTGGGCGGCGAGTTACTTCCTCCTCCTCATCATGCTTTTCGTCCTTGCTCGAATCGTCCCTTCAACTACCCTTCCTCAACCTCCACCCCTTCTTTCTCCCTCGCATCTACATTCATCACCTTATTCTGGTTAATCCCGTTTCTGCACCTATATCCATCATCCACTTCCCGACACGATTACCTGTCCTCCTCCTCATCTGCAACCTCTTTGTCGTCGTCCTCCCCCTTCTTATCCCCTACTCTCTCTCTGTCTCTCTTCCACCTTCCTCCTCCCTCTCCTCCAACTCCTCCTCTTCTGCCTGCTCCCCCCTCCCCCCCCCCCAGCGGCCGCTAGCCCCTGCCCCCCTCCGCCCCAGCAGGAGGAGTAGGACGAAACAGGGGTGAATGTGGCATAGAAGGACATCGGAGTCACAAGGAAAGAGGAGGACGAGGAGGAAATATGAGAGGAGGACGAGGAGGAGCACACAGAGGACGGATAACGAGGAGAAGGAGGAACAACGAGGAAGAGGTGGAGGAGGGGGAAGGAGACGGAGACGGAGGAGGAGGAGGAGGAGGAGGAGGAGGAGGAGGAGGAGGAGGAGGAGGAGGAGAAGAAGGGAAGCGCGTGTATGTGACTCAGATTCGTCAGACCCCCCTTCACCGCAGTGCCGAATGTTGGGGCCTACCCCAAATCACCTGGGGGCTCGAACACATCGGGCCCGTCATCCCACTCCTCCTGAGCCCAGCGGTGGGCGAGGAGGGCAGAGGAGGGGGAGGAGAAAAGCGGAGGAGGGAGGACAGAGGAGTGCCAGGAGCAGGGTCAAACAGGAGGACCCTCCCCCCCCCCCTCGCCGCCCCGCGTGGCCCCTGCGGGACTTCTCCCTCGTCGGCCGACCAGCGCGGGCGGCGGCAGGACGCGCGGCCGCGGCGGCGGGCGGGCGGCCCGCCTGCGTCCCGCAGCTCGCCCCAGCGTAGGGGCCGGCCGACGAACCAGCGCTCCTCGCTCGGGGCAGGTCGCCCGGGCGCCCGGGGGGGGGGGGCGGGAGGGGCAGGGCGGCAGATCGGGGCGAGGAGGTGGTGGGGACTTTTGGGACTTTTGGGCGACGGCAGCGGCGACGACGGCGGCGGCGACGGCGGCGACGGCGGCGACAGCGACGGCGACGACGGCGGCGGCGGCGACGGCGACGGCGACGCGGGGAGTGGTGGGGGGAGGGGCTGCGGGTCGAGGTGGGAAGCGGTGGGGCCTTTTGGACTTCGGACGACGACGACGACGACGATTGCGGCGGCGACGGCGACGGCGACGAGGTGTGGGCTCGAGGCAGACGAGCGGAAGAGTCAAACAGCAGGCCAGACAGGCGGGAGAGACAGAGATATATGTATATATATATAGAGAGAGAGAGAGAAACAAACTACGAGGGGGCTGAGGGGAAGCAGGGGCCAGCAAATCAGCACACGTCTTTCCTTCGACGCGCGGGTGAAAAGCTACGGACCATGTGAGCGATGAAGAGGCCACTCTACCATATCGACACGCGCACACCCACCCACCCACCCACCCGCACGCACGCACGCACGCACACACGCACACGCACACGCACACGCACACGCAGACGCAGACGCAGACGCACACGCGCTCGCGCACGCACACCACACACCACACACCACACACCACACACATACAGACACACAGACGCACACACACAGACACACGGACACACACGCACACAGACACACAGGCACACAGACACACAGAGACACACAGAGACACACAGAGACACACAGAGACACACAGAGACACACAGAGACACACAGAGACACACAAAGACACACACACACACACACACACACACACACACACATCAGGACAAATACCCCGCAGCGGCGTGCCAGCACCTCGGCTGTCGGAAACTCTGGCCTCTCTCAGAGTGCCAAGCCGGCGGGGGTCTGGAGGCCGTGTCGGGCGCCGCGGCAGTCCCAGAGCGCTCCGGAACGTCCTGCTCAAAGTCTGGGAGCGCGCCGGAGCGATGCAGCCCTCGTTATGGGCCTGCCCAGTCCTCCCTCGAAGGCTGCCGCAGGTGCTCCTGGCCCAGGGTGCCCACAGCCCTCGGCGCCACATGCGAGCCCCCCTGGGGGCCCTCTGGGCCTCGCGGGGGTGAGGGGCAACGTTGGGGGGGGGGGACCGCCACCAGGGGGGAAGCATCGACCTGGAATCGGCGACGCATCGCCGATGGATCGGCGTAAGGCCCCCGAGAGTGCATCCGCACGCTCCTGAGCAGGCTGGGGCTATCGGGCCCACGTCGGCGATCAATGGGCGAACGGGGGTCGGAGCATCCCCCCCCAACGCATGTCCCCCCCTACAGTGCGGGCGCGGCCGCAAGAAACCCCCGCAAGAAACCCAACGCTGAGAACCCGTGCGCGAGGTACACCTGAGGGGAAACCCGGAGCACCCTGAACGCAGCAGCTCCTTCAGCGGCTTCGGAAGTCAACGCGCAGCGCGAGGAGCGAAGAAACCCAGGATACCCTGACGAAAAGCACATGGTTTCTTGATGCGCGCTCCCACTGTATCGTTGCCCCCGAGGTGGGGGGAGCCTGGCGGCGAGCTGGGCCACCCCCGAGGAGCCGGCCACCACCGTGGTGGGCCAGTTGGCAGCCCCTCCCTGGGGAGAGCGGTGCCCGTGCGCCCCGGGCACCTGCGCTCCGCGGGGACCTCCCAGCGAAGGCCACGACGGCCACTCCTGCCCTCATCCTCCCCCTCCAGCGAGCGGACCTCGACTGCATGGAGTGGGGATTCCGTAAACTTGGATTAGCGATCCATGGATTTGGCGCGCGGTCGCCAAATCCATAGATCGGGGGAGGTGAACGCGGCCGGTGCCGCCTCGCTCGGCGGCGGAAATCTGCGATTTCCCATGGAAACGGGACCCGTGGCTAATCCACGCCCCCTTAATCCATGTTTGCGATCGCCTGATCTGGAGCGGGGATTCCGTAGCTCAACAAATCCAGTGTGAGCCCCAGGCCTGCGATGGAGCCCCCTTTGTCCTGCCTCCCCGTCCCGCCGCCCGAGACCAAGCCAATGACGCCCCCCCCCGCTCCTGCTCCCCCTCCTGAAGGGGAGCCAAAGGGGAGGGGCGGCTGAGGGGGGAGAACGTCGACGTGACGTCGGCAATACATCGCCGATAGATCGGCGATGTGCCCCCGACTGCAAGACCAAACGTTCCTAGACAGCGTGAGACATCCAGGCCACCGTGGGCAACGAGTGGGGGGTCGCTGCCACCTTTCTGAGCCGATCCCCCTCCTGCCGTTGCCCCTGACACTCATCGCTCCCCCTGGCCCCCTCTCCCGAGCCTCCTCCCGCGCCCGAGCTGGCACGCGAGCGGGCGGCGCCGCGAGGGGGAAGAGGAGGAGAGGTCGCGCGCGGGCCCCTGCCGGCGGCGTCTGATCCCCCCTCTGCCCTGCCGCCCTTCCTGCCCTGCGGCTTCCCTGCTGCTTCCCGCTCCCGCCCCTCCTCAGGCCGCCCCACCCCCTCTGCGGCGCCACTGGCGCGCCGCTCGGCGCTGCCCGGGCGGGCGCCGCGCGGGCCGACGAGCTGACGCGTGGCCGAGGGCGGCAGGGCGCCGGCAGGAAGAAGCTCGGTGGCAACTCCTGGGAACCTCCCATACCACGGATCGACGCTGATCGACGCTGAATCGACGCTGGATCGACGCTACATCGATGCTAATCGACGCTAGCGGACGCTAGATCGGCGCTATCCCACCGACTCCCAGACGCCAGTCGACGCCAATCGGCGCTGAAGACTGATCTTAAGAGGGCATGCCAGGCTCCCAAATTTTGCTACCGAAGAAGAAGGCAGCCCGGACATCCCATGTGCGCATCGCTTCCGCGCGGCCCTCCCACCTGGAAGCCCCGACCTTGAGATGCCGACGACCGCGTGCTGCCACAGGAGGGGGGCCCTGCGGCGAAGGCGGGAGCACAGATTCGGCTCGTCCGTGCACCTGCGGCGTGGCGAAAGGCGGGCGGCATCGGCGCAACGCCGAGGAGCGCCGCGGGCTCGGGCCTTTGGCGTGGACGCGCGCCGCGCGAAACTGCCCCGCTTGCGGAGTTGCGCGAATAGGCCGGGGTATACCGAGGGCTGAAGCGTGTGCTCGAGCCAGGGGGCCCCGCAGCCCATGCGAGCTCGGTCCAGCATCACTGCGCTGTTGTATGCTTGGTCGCGTCTGCCAGTGCGCGCGCGACTAACTGCCCCAGAGCCCGCGTTTCACACTTGCTCGCATTCTGGTGGCCCGCCAGCCCAGCAGTGGCTCCCCTGGAGTCCGACAGATACGAACAACATAGGAGGCATGAGATGCGGCGAAATGTCATAGCCCAGGCCATGAGATCCCCTTCCTACGTCACCGCGCCCCCTCTTGGCCAACCCCGCAAAAAAAAACAACAGCCGACCCCGTAAGAAAGCTGGCCGCCGCGACTTTTCTGCGCCGCCTGGATTCCCAGACCTCCACGCCATGATGTTTGTCATAACGTCGACCCCCAGAGGTCTCGACCCATCTCCCGGGACACATGTTCCATCCCGAAGCGCTTCTTCACGGTCCGCAGGCCCGGGAAAGGCCCAGCGAGGCCGAACACGTGGAAAAAACATCCGTTCTGATTTTGTCCGCGACTCGAAGGGGCCTGGGCTTCGAGGCTCGCTCCGCGGCTCGCCAGGCGTGCCAGGCGCGCTGGCCGGCCAGTCGTTTCCGGCTGGGTATAGTGGCCCTCCGGGAGCGGCCGGCGACCCGCCCCGGCCCGCCGGAGCAAGCCATGCGCGGGGCCGCGCGGGCATGGCCCCGTTGACCTTTCCTCCGATCCCTCCTCTCCCTCGCAGTCGCCGCCGCCGCCGCCGCCGTCGCCGCCGCCGTCGTCGTCGTCGCCGTCGTCGTCGCCGTCGCCGTCGTCGTCGTCGTCGTCGTCGTCGTCGCCGTCGTCGTCGTCGTCGTCGTCGTCGTCGTCGTCGTCGTCGTCGTCGTCGTCGCGTCGTCGTCGTCGTCGTCGTCGTCGTGTCGTCGTCGTCGCCGTCGTCGTCGTCGTCGTCGTCGCCGCCGTCGTCGTCGTCGCCGTCGTCGTCGCCGTCGCCGTCGTCGTCGTCGTCGTCGTCGTCGTCGCCGTCGTCGTCGTCGTCGTCGTCGTCGTCGTCGTCGTCGTCGTCGTCGTCGTCGTCCTGCCGCTGTGATCCTCTGTGCTGGCAGCAGGGCGCAGAGAGCGGCGGGCGCGCCCGCGGGCCCACGGAATGCGCCCCCACTGCCCCGCGGCGCTCCGCGCGCCGCCCCTCGCCGCCAACCCGCCCCGCGGCGCCGCCGCCCCGAGGGCCCGGCCTCCTGCCGGAGGGTTCCAAAGGGGGTTTTCGGGGGAGGGGGCTTTCCAGGAGGGTCCCCCAGGGGCTTCGCACCCTCTGTTTTGACGAGGCTCCGAGGTCCCTGGGGTGCTCTCTGGAAAACCCCCTCCCCCCCAACCCCATTTGGAACCCTCTGGGAGGAGGGCCTGGGGCTCCCCGGGCCCTCCGACCACAGACTCCTGGATGGGGCCCGAGCAGGTGGGGCCGGAGGATCGCGCCGCATCACCTTCGGTGGCAACTCGTGGGAGCCTCCCATACCTCGTAGAACTCTTCGGCATCGATGAGCAAGACGAATTCATGCGCGGAGTGGAGCTAGTTGGCCGACCCGGCCAGGACGGACAATGTGGTGAACTGGGGTCGGTTCCTGGAATATTGTGAAAGATTTGACAGATCGTTGTGAGAACCAGTATTTGTCTCACGTGTAGTGGATTATGCCGCGTCTGCCTGTCAAATTCTCAGGTCCGCAGCTGCAGCATTACTATCAAAAGACGTGAGGGAACCGACTTCGCATAAAACCACCAAAAATACATTCTGCAATTTTTCAAGCTGATATTCGAGGAAGAATTATACTTGTAATCTGAGCACTGATTCGCGTGTTAAGAGCTCTACGAGGGTCTCGGCGGTAACCTGGTTGACGGTTTACCGCCGGCTCCCAGTTGGCCAACCCGGCCAGGGCGGACAATGTGACAACCTGGTGTCGGTGTTTGAAATATTGTGAGAGATTCGACCGTTCGTTTTGAAGAAACATAAGTTTCCAACGTGTAGTTGGTCATTTCGCGTCTGCCTGTGCAATTATCAGATCCGTAGCTGCAGTATTACTATCAAAAGACGTGGAACCGACTTTGAATAAAAACCGAAAAACATGTATATTTCGAGCTTTCAAGCTGACGCTGAAGAAAAAATGCTCCTTTTGTTCCGAGCAGCGCTACGCGTGCAAAGAGCTCTACGATGATCCCAGCGAATCGTGTCGTCTCTCGCGAATCGACGCTGATCGACGCCAGTCGATGCTAAATCGACGCTACTCGGCGCTAAATCGACGCTAGCCAGATCGGCGCTACCTCATCGACTCCCAAGCGCTAACCGATGCTAATCGACGCTAAAGACGGAATTAGGAGGGTCCAGGCTCCCATGATTTGCTACTGAACATCGCCGATGCATCGGTGACGTCGGCGGGGAGAACATCGAGCTCCACATAGAGCCGCATCGCCGATGCGTGGGCGATACAACGGGGTCCTCCGACACCATCTACTCGAACTCCATCCGGGAGGCCTACGGACAATCGCCACGGCGGTTCCCGGGCCGATCGGCCGCCACCGATGTTGAAATCGGTCACGACCGACTTTGGAGTCGGTCGCGGTCGGTCGCGACCGATCTGGAATGCCGATGGGTCGCTATGGATCGTGACAAAAGAAACAAGGCATATCCAATGATCCGTGTGGGTGGGGGGATTGATTGCCCCCCCCAGCGGCAACGCCCGATGCCCCGGGGGCCACCCTCTCCGCCCACCGCCCGTGGGGATGCGTGGCGACTGCGCGGCGCACCGCCGAACACGGGCTCATGCAACTCGCGTGTCCGCATGAGCAAGCACCTCTCTAACAGCTGATGCAAAGCTCCGAGGCAGGAATTTATACATGACCACCGCTTGGAGGATCAATTTTCGGGGACCTCGGCAGGCGGTGGATATGGACATATTCGGGCCCCCAGGGGCCAAAATAGATCCATATCCACCGCCCGCCAGGGCACCAGGACGTCGGTTCCCAGGCGGTGGATATGGATAAATCCCCGCCCCGCACAAAACCGCCTCGGCTGCAGGTGGCACCTTGCCACACGCAGGTGCCACCCAGCCGAACCGGCCGACCTCTCCTCGATGCACCTCTGGCTACGACGCTCGAGCGACGACCCAACGACGGCGCACGCGAACGACGGCGCCGGGCGCCGGCCGACCTCTCCTCGATGCACCTCTGGCTACGACGCTCGAGCGACGACCCAACGACGGCGCGCACGAACGACGGCGCCGGGCGGAGAGCCCCTCGAAGCCAAACGCTACCGATACACCGCTGCTCCCTGGACCTCGCCTGGGGTGCGTTCTGACCAGCACCTCGAGGCGAATCCAGCGGTGGCGACGAGGGCCTCCGAGGAGGCCCAAACAGGAGAAGACGCGTGAAGGGTAGAGGTGTGGGCACCTTTCCTCAGAGGCCTCCTGGATAGGGTCCGAGTAGCTGGGGTCGGAGGATCTCGCCGCATCGGCCATGCACTGGCGACGTCGGCGATGCATCTGCGACGTCGGCGTGGAGACAATTGGGCCCGGCATCGAGCCGCATCGCTGATGCATCCCCGATGCATCGGCGATGCGGCGCGATCCTCCGACCCCATCTGCTCGGACCCCATCCACAGGAAGCCTCGACTCCTCCTCTGACCCTCGGCGCGTCGCCGGGCGCCGGGTCAGAACAGCAGCAGCGCCCCAGCGGCGCCGACCGCGGCGAGCGCAGCGGTGCCGGCCACGGGTCGCGCGGCCGCGCCTGCCGCTCGCCAGGGCGCGCGCGCGCGCACTCGCGCGCGCGCGTTCCGCTCTCCGACCACCTTGGGGGGGGAGGTCCAAGAAGGGGGGGGGGTCCAAGAAGGGGGGCGTCCAAGAAGGGGGGGTCCAAGGAGGGGGGCGTCCAGGAGGGGGGCGTCCAGGACGGGGGCGTCCAGGAGGGGGGCGTCGAGGGACGTGCGCGTCCCGAGGGGGGGGCAATGGACACGCTGAGCGCAGAGGATGGGCCGTGCTATCTGGTTATATGTCATGGCCCCGACCGTGAGATCTCCACGGAAGAGGAGGAGAAGGAGGACGAGGAGGAGGAGGAGGAGGAGGAGGAGGAGGAGGAGGAGGAGGAGAAGGTTTGGCCCAGGAGGTTGTTCGGCATCCCACAGGGGGATCCATTTCTGTGTATCGTACTCTCCTGGTCGAACCTCAGGCGTGCACGTAGTCTTTTCATCCTTGTGCCACGACCGTCAAAGACGGCTAAGGAACCGACTTGGCACCGCAGGTGCCGCAAGGACAGAGCCCGAGCGAGGCTCTTACTACGAGCGTTGGCAGCACGCGATCTACTTCGACGTCACCACAGCTCGGGCAACATCGACACTATGACAGGTCACAATCAAGGTGCACGTATCCAGGGACCGGGTCAGAACTGGGATTGTATGAAGTGTGGAAGGTGGGTAAAAAGGGCACCACTGGCGGTGCCTGTGCGGACAAACGTACGGATACAATCAACGTCAGGAGCGTGAGCAGCAAGGGGGCCCCTTCCAGCAGGCTATGAGGGAGCGGGCTCACCAAGAGAACTTCCAGCGTCGTGAGCGGAGTCGTCCTCGCCCACAACAGAACAACGACAAAGCAGTCCAGCAGGTCATCAGAAGAACCATCCCAACCTCCAGGGCCGACGCGATCAGACACTCGAGCTTCATCGAGCCGCCGCCGTCCGACACAAAGGAGCTCAAGACTTTCAAGACCGAGATCCGCGACTGCATGAGCAAGCTCGCCCTGCTTGTGATCGCGGCCAAGGGAAGCAATCGTGAGTGTGAAGAAGTATTGGCCGAGCTTGCGGTACTCAAGATGATGCACTCCAACACGGAGACATTCACTCGCCAGCTCAACTCAACACCTTGAGAACCAGTCAGGACAAGGCCCTCGAGAAGCTCAAATCTATCAAGTCCACGGTCGCCGATCTGATGGAGGAGGAGAAGGAGGTAGAGGACGACCTAACCAAAATAAGAGCCAACATCGCCGAGTTAGAGGAACATGAAGCCCAGCAGGACGAGGACATGGAAAAAGCACCAGGGCAACAGCTTCATGAGCATCCTTTGTCACCTAGGGCAGCAACTACAGCGACGGGCACTTTACCAATGAGGCAGTTTCTTGCGGGAGCGGCTCCACCAGTTGCGCCTGAGCCCGCGATGCCAGTCCAGCCCATGGCAACCCCATACAGGGGCACGATCCCACCGCCGCCACCGTACCAGCCGACGGGTCCAGGGATGAACGAAATCACATACATGATGTACGCGATGATGGAAGTTCAGAAGCAGGAGCAGCTACGCTTGGAGCAGATGTACCAGGTGGGGTTTCCAACCGGGGGGCCTGTCGCGGCACCGGCAGCGACCCCCCTACAGACAGTCACCGCAGATCAACTCGCCGCATCCATCCCAGTGCCTGGACTGAGCCCAGTGGCAGCTCCTCCGCCAGCGAAGAGATCCACGCGGTCGCCACCACCTCCAGGGGCAACGAATGGACCGTCAGGACCTCCGAGGCTGGCAACTTCATCGACCTTTCCGCCAGCTCAGCTTACGCCAATTGGTGGCATGCCTACGCCGTTACCTGCTACGCCACTTGCGGGCACTCCAGTTACGTTGGGACCGACAGATACGACTCCAACTGCGACAGCCAGCTCGAAGGGCATCTCAGACCCTTTCGCAGGCATGACGATTCACGAGGATCCAGAGTCCGAGGAGGTATCGCCAGTGGATCCACTACTTCTCCAGCCTACTTAGCCGATGCAGATCACCCAGGAGAATCCGTGCCTCCAGGGCCCCGTCTTCTCAGTCACGGAGGTGATCGAAGTGCCGTCCCAGGAGGCGGACTCAGCTCAGGCGTGCCCTCCACAGGAGGATCAGGCGGACCCCGACACAGCCAGTCCCCCACGCAAGGAGGCAAGGGTTGCATGAGCAGTTCCGAGGCCGCTAAGAGAGCTGACCAGGGAAAAAGCGTCATCTGGGGCAGTAATTCGGTTGCATTCTTTCGCATAGATGGGATCCCCCAGGTGCGCCCTCCTCCTTTTCTGCAGAGGCCCCTGCGGTCCGTCCTTATGAGGTCCCCTCCTCCTTCAACGGGGAAGTCCCACACCAGTTGTAGCTTCTTATGTTTCGAGCACTCTCTGGGATATAGAGAGTCGGCGGACCAGCGTCAGCTGTCATATAATTCTCAATGGGGAAGATCTCCCAGGGCTTCGGTACTTCTGCAAAACTTCGACAGGCCGCTTGGAATCACCTTTCACTTGCGGCCAGTCGCATTTCAGTTTCGTTAGACTCTTGCCCGTGGGAAACTAAGGCGGGTTTCAACCATCTAACTGTTGTGCACTAGTTCCATTCCCTCGAATATCCCGACACGCTTGCTATCGATCCCACCGAGCGGGAAGTGCAGATATGCACAGGAGCTTGGGCCCTGCCTTGCGCAGTGCCCGATTTGACTGTGTTTCAACCCTCGGAGCTCTCGACTTTATCTGATCGGCGTCAGTGCGAACGTGGAATCTACCAGAGGGGTGAAACCTTTCATGAGGTCAGCCTGCCATGCAGCCAGGCGTCGGGCATCCACGCATCAGGCTCGGCGGCCAGGACGCTCAGATGTTCGGCCGCGCGTTGCCCAGTACCTACTGCTCTAGCCCCGGCCCTGTTATTAACAACAATCTGGCTATTTCTCGTCATCGATCTGAACAAGAAATTTCGCTTTACAGATGTCATGGTGGGCGGGCTTGTCCCAGCCACCAGACCAAGCAATTACCGTGGCTTAATTAACATAAGGGTGTGCACTTGCGTTGGTTCGCATACCTCTCTCGGTCAGTCTGTGCCAGTTGTCCATGCTGGACTGGTTCCAACACTTGTTGCAGTGCGTCTGAGCAGCAGCCCCTTCTCCATCCCTTCCGTCGATGCTATACCTCACTTAACCGATCTAGGGAACCGACTCGGCGATTGCTCGCTCCACGGAAGCGCCAGCGCTAGCAGGGGATCTCCGCTGTCTGGATCTTGGGGCGTGCGCCAGGACTACGCTGTCTCCCTCTGCTGCCCCTTTCGTGCCCAACAGTCGCTTTGATGTTTCAGAAATGGGACTGCCATTCCTGGACCAGGGCGCGCCCAATGTTGACCCCTTCAGGTTGTTCAGCTGGCGCTTCCCCCGGCCTCCACTCCCGAGGGATCGTGGACCAGGAAACATGATTACACGGGTGGTTCTGTCAAACCCCAGCTGGACGAGCAAGCCTCCTGGGACCTAGTAGTCATCGCTGAGGATTCCTAAGGTTTCTCGCATCAGGCGCGCGGGCTCGGGCAGTCTTGCAGGACCGGCCCACGGACAGGGCTGGCATCCAGCACCGAGAACGAGTTTGCGGGGGCGTGCTGGGCGGCGGTCTACCTGCTGCTAGACCAGAGCACCACCGAGACTCGGGATGAAACAGATTCGCTCAACGTGGTCAGGGCTTCAAACGGCTTCGCCACCCTGCCAAGACATGATCATATCGGCCGTCTGGCTTGCCCCCTCTGGGCTATCCTGAGGCTCCGTCACAAGACCCTCGCGAGGCACGTTAAGAAACACACGGGCCACCCATGGGACACCATGGCTGACTGGTTGGCTGGAGGTATCCATGATGGTTTTGTCTCGCCGACCTGCTTCCCTGAGCCCATGCTTGCGCTTGCCCATAATCACTTGCCTCTTGAGTGGGCCCGACTCCTAGAAGCCGCTCCTGGGGCCAGGGATGCTTATCCTTCCGTCATAGGTGGCTCTCCCATGCTGATGCCCTCCACTGGGGCTGAGGATCATCACTTTGGAGATTTCTTGCACCCGCAGAAAACACCTGCCCCCCCATCAAGTCCATTGATGTTAATTTGCGCGTATGCCAGTACAGTGCTCGCTCCACGGCCCCTTCTGCCAAGTGGGGGCAGGCTGGTCAGCTTAGGCGAGCTCGTTCCAAGTCCATTCGGCTCCAAATGGCACAGTTAGGGATTCACTTGGTCGGGAATCAGGAGGCCGGGGCTCCTCAAGGATCCAGGGTTTCGCATGTTTGTTGATTGTTTTTTCTGGTAGCACCCCCGAAGGACTTGGAGTCGAACTCTGGATCACTACGAATCTATGCTATGCCAGAAAGGGCAACCGGGAATTTACTCTTGCCAAGAGGCATGTGAGGGTCCTGCATCGCACTGCGCGCGCGCTGTTTGTGCGTCTTGAGACACCCGCTCTTTCTGCCGTGGTGGCCGTCGCGCACGCGCCCCACTGCAAGGTTGCATCAGTGCAGAAGAATAACTTTTGGACCGGCTTCGTAGCTCACGCGGCCAAGTGGCAACCATATTTGCTTCTCATTGATGCTAACGCTCGGATCGGATCGGCGTTGTCCGATGCAGTTGGAACAGCTGCGCCTCGCCAAGAGCAGGACTCCCAAGGCCATGCATTTCACAAATATGCCACTAGCAATAACCTGCGTCTTCGTAACACGGACATGATGGCCAACGCTGAGGGCACAACATTCCTCACTAACAAAAGACACAACACAGGATTGACTACATCGCTATCACCCCCACGTGCCATGCATGTGCTCGCAGCTGTGAGGTTCACCCGGCAGTTGATGACGGCTTTCACGTGCGTGACTACCTGCCTCTCCTCGCCTCCTTCGCTTGGTCAGCTGACTACCGCCGCCCCGTGCGTTCTCGGGCCTTAGTGCTCGACAAGAACAAGATGTCGGACCCCGAGTGCGTCGCTTGCTTTCAGGGGGCTCTTTCTGGA